CTCTGGAGGAGCTCGGGGACTAGGGGTAAGGGATAACGATTCTTTACCGTTATTTTGTTCAGATCACGGTAGTCTATGCAGGGCCGTAATGACTTGTCCTTCTTCTCTACGAAGAACAGCCCGGCCCCGGCTGGGGATGTGGATGGACGAATAAATCCCTTCCGAAGGTTTTCGTCAATATATTCCCTCTCCGATTCCGTTTCAGACAAAGGAAAATACGGCCGAACGAGATCTCAGACCCGGGTAGGAGGTCTATGGGGCAATCGTAGGAACGGTGCGGAGGAAGAATGTCAGCTCCTCGCTTACTGAACACGTCTAAGAAGTCATGGTAGGCCGGAGGAATAACCTGGGATAGATTGGTGTCGCCATCCAAGCACAGGAGGAACCGGGGAACCACGGATTCTGTGACGTGGCAGTGACTCAAACAGTAAGGTGACCGAAATTGAATAGTTCCCTTTTCCCAGTCAATCTGGGGGTTATGGGCCCGCAGCCAAGGGAGCCCCAGAATGACTGGAAAAAGGGGAGATGCGATGGCATCCAAACGGAGGAACTCCTGGTGATGGTCTGCCATTGTGGTGAAAATGGGTGGTGTCTCCTGGTCCACCACCCCTGATTTTATACTGGACCCATCTGCCAAGAAGATGTTGAACCCCCTTTCTTTGGTCTGGAGAGGGATTTTTTGCCGGTGGGCAAAAGTCAGATCGATAAAACAACTACAGGCTCCTGAGTCAACGATTGCGGTCACCGACAATGTTCCTCCGGGGAGCTGTAAAGACACAGGTATGGCCAGGTAACTTGACTGATCATCACTTCCTGCAGGTAAAGTAAAAGAAAAGGACGTGGACTTACTCATTTTTGCAGGACAGGAGCGCACCTGGTGACCACCTTCCCCGCAGTACAGACATAGGTTCTGTGATCGTCTCCTCTGACGTTCCTCGACCAATAAGTGGGAACGGGCCAGTCCCAGTTGCATGGGTTCCGGGTTGTGCCCTGATTCCGTGCTTCGCAGATGGCTCCCTGGGGCTGGAGCTGTGTCCCTTGGTGGAATCCATGCCACCCTTTGACCCTGGCTGCTCCTTTCCAGCCGACGTTCCCTTAGTCTACGGTCAATTTGAATGGCTAACTCAATCAGTTTTTCCAGGGAGTCAGGTAGGCCTACTCGTGCCAGTTCGTCTTTGAGAGACTCAGATAGCCCGATGCGGAACTGGTGACATAAGGCCGCATCGTTCCATCTGGTGTCTCCCATGCAACGCCTAAAATCAGACGCGTATTCTTCGGCTGTCCGGCGGCCTTGCCGTAGAGAGTATAGGGTAGCCTCTGCGGAAGCAGCCCACTGAGGGTCGTCATACAAAACAGCCATGGCCTGAAAGAACTCGGTCACGGAGTCAAGATGGGGGTCGTGCTTCTCCATCAGGCGGTGAGCCCAATCCTGGGGCTCATCCTGAAGGAGAGAGACTATAAACCCCACCTTGACGGTCTCGGTGGTGAACGTGCGGGGCTGCAAGTCGAAATACAGGGTTCAAGCGTTCCAGAAGGCTCGGAAGCGGCTCCGGTCACCACGGAATCGCTCCGGCAGGGGAACACGGGGTTCAGAGCTAGGGATGTGGCAACCGCTCCGGATGCCGGGGCAGCGGGAGGTTCTGCAGATGGAGGACTCTGAGCAGGGGGAGTCAGGGGGGCTAACGACTCCATGCGGTCCTCCAGTCGGGCGCAGCGACTGTGGAAATTCTGGAAAGCCTGGGTCAAAGTTGCCAGGTGCTGGCAAATATCCTCTAGGGACGCCGGTCCACTTCCTGGCTCTGTCATGGCCGCAAGGTACTGTTATGATCCGCCAGGTGGTGCCTCAGGCTGCCAACTGACAGACCTACCCAGAGCGTGGGGTCTAAGCCCGGGCTGTGCTTTCACCAGGGCCCCTGATGGTGGGGATGGACTTGAAACAGTCCCGGACCAGGTCACGACCTCTGAGCAGGCCCACCAGTGGCTGAGGAACCTCCGGGGACGTATGCAGGTACCGGAGAGCCAGATGTGAAGCAGATGGCGGCCCCAGCAGGGTAGTAACGGATCGTGGTCCCGTGGGGGTAAGCGAGGTACAGAATCGGCGGGCAAAGAGTAGTCGGGTCACACGCAGGGTCAGCAGGGTAAGTCAGTCCGTAGAATGGTCAGGGCAATCCGGGTCAATCACAGGAGCAGGCAGAGTAGTCAGGGCAATCCGGGTCAATCACAGGGGCAGGCAGCGTAGTCAGGGTCAAACAGGGTCACTAGACGGGTGCAGGAACTCAGAATCACAGATAGACCTTGCGGCAATTACTGACAGTGCAGGGCATCTTTAAATAGTGCGCCCTGCACTGTCATTGGCCGCCCAGAACGCGCCCCCGGGCTGTCATTGGCCGCCCGAGGTGCGCCCGTGGCTTCCACTGCGCATGCGCGGCATCCTGTCATCCCCGGCTCGCCGGGACCTGGTGCCTGTGTCCCGGCGTGAGCCGTCGCCAGCGCGCATGCGCCGGCCGACGGGACGCCACGATCCCTGACACATACTTAAGTGATTTGTTAACAGGTAATGGAATACAATGAAATAAAATAATTCAGAATTTAAAATTTTTTTTTTTGAATAGCATAATGAATATTTTCCTCCTGCAGCTGCTGAATGCCAGAAGGAGGGAGAGGAGGAAATGCTGGCTTTCAGAGGCTGCAGGTGTCAAATAAATACATAACTGTACTGTAACTGCTGTTTTAAACATTGTGGTTCAAACCTGGGTCGTGAACTCCTCAGAACCTTGCTACATAGCTAAAAAAGGCAAGTTAAGAATGTTTTATGACATGACCATTTGGGAACATATGTCAAAGGTTGCCCTGCACCTTGTTTGTTGTCTAGATATAAAGTGACATGCCATACTTGGTCATTTGGCTCCTTCTCCTGGACCTCTCCGCGGCCTTCGACACAGTTGACCACCCCCTCCTCCTTAATAAACTACTCTCCCTTGGCATCAGAGATACCGCTCTCTCTTGGTTCTCATCCTACCTATCCCTTCAGCGTCACCTACAATGGTGCCACCTCCCCCTCCCTCCCCCTCTCTGTTGGGGTCCCCCAAGGCTCTGTCCTTGGACCCCTTCTCTTCTCCATCTACACCTCCTCCCTGGGCAAACTCATACACTCCCAGGGCTTCAACTCTACGCTGACGACACCCAAATCTACCTCTCCACCCGTCTCCTCACCCCCACTATCTCCCCCCGCATCACTCACCTCCTAAACGACATCTCAGACTGGATGTCGCTACATTTCCTCAAGCTCAACCTCTCCAAAACCGAGCTCCTCGTCTTTCCCCCTGCCCATACCCCCCCATCCTATCCATCATCACCAACAACTCCACTATCATTCTTGCCCTGCAAGCCAAAGTCCTTGGCGTCATTCTTGACTCGAACCTCTCCTTCCAACCTCATGTCAAATTACTTACAAACATATGCAGGCTCCACCTCCGCAACATTGCCAAGGTACGTACCTTCCTCACCCCTGACACCACCAAACTTCTAGTACACTCCCTCATCATCTCACGCCTTGACTACTGCAATTCTCTTCTCACCGGCCTACCCAAGTGCAGGCTCTCCCCGCTCCAGACCATCCTGAACTCAGCGGCTAGACTCTTCCACCTCACAACCCGCTCCACCTCTGCCACCCCCCTCTGCCTCTCCCTCCACTGGCTCCCGATTGCCCAACGCATCAAATTTAAACTTCTAACCCTGACCTACAAAGCCGTTCACAACACTGCCCCTGACTACCTCACCAACCTGATCCCCAAGTACCACCCTACCCGTACCCTTCGCTCCTCACAGGACCTCCTTCTATCCTGCTCCCTGGTCTCCTCCTCCCATGCACGACTGCAAGACTTCTCCAGGTCCTCCCACATCCTCTGGAACTCACTGCCCCAATCCATCAGACTGTCGCCTTCCCTCCTCACATTCAGGCGCTCCCTCAAAACCCATCTCTTCAGGGAAGCCTACACCACCCTCACCTAACGGCCATTCTCCCTCTTTCCTCCCACCCCTCATTCCCCTCAGCCACTTCCTACTGTACCATTACCCCCTCCCTCCTAGATTGTAAGCTCGAAAGAGTAGGGCCCTCTTACCCCTCGTACGTTGTTTGTTATTGTTGTACTGTGCCATGTATTGTCCCCCCCCTATTGTACAGCGCTGAGCAAACCCTTTGGCGCTATATAAAAACTCGATGTAATAATAATAATAATAATTTATTCCAAATTAGATATGGTGAAAAGCTGCTAGCATCTAACAATGTTGACCAACCACATTTGTGCCTTTTACACAGTATAAATAACCATTGTAAAGGAGCAACTGTAGGCCAGTCCTCCCCTGGACTGGCCCATGCACTTGTATGATGTGAATAAACACTTCTTTTGTTCACCGTAAGAGTGTGGCCTGACTGAAATTCCACAACACAGGAGGGAAATGGAGAGGATTGCTTTCGGTATATGCAACCCTACCGTCCCCTCCTGTCCAAGTGTATGCATTGCATACTAGCACATTATGACAGACTTACCTTAGAATGAAGCCATCTAGCGGCGCACTGTCACCACTGACAGGGCTTCCATCTTCACCTGCTCTTCCTTCTGGGTTCATAGGCACCAGCAGTTTGAATGGCCAAGCCGCGATGACATCACTCCTGCACATGCATACAGGAGTCACAGCCACAACACAGGGCTCTGAAGGGACAGCATGAGTATACCGTCTCTTCAAACACAAGCACTCCTGACGTCACTGGCTGCAGATGCAGTAAATATCTCCTAAATTTGCACCGTTTCCTTTTTTATAAGTTTACCTATAGGTACAAGTGTTCAAGCAGTGTTTACTACCACTTTAACCACTTCCCTACCGCCCTATAGCAAAACTACTGCTCCAGGGTGGCAGAGCTGCACAAAATCAAGTATATGTACACGATTTTGCATTTCCAGGTAGGGGGCGCGCACCACCATTGGCATAACAGATGTCAATCACTGGGTCCTGGCCAGAGATTCTCCGCTGACACCCGGCGATCGCCGAGGAACACTGACAGGGGAGAGACCTGTGTGTAAACAACACAGGTCTCTCTCCTGCCAGCAGTAATATTATTATTATTATTACACAGGATTTATATAGCGCCAATGGTTTGCTCAGCGCTTCACATTATAGTGAGAGACAATACAGTAACAATACAGTTCAATACAAGAGGGATTTGAGGGCCCTGCTCCTTGGAGCTTACAATCTAGGAGGGAGGGGTGAATGGTACAATAGGTAATAACTGTGGGGGATGGAGTGGTTGGAAGAGGAGAGGATTCCAGTATTAGCAGAGGGCGGGATAGGCTTCCCTGAAGAGATAGGTTTTCAGTGATCGCCTAAAAGTAAGTAGAGTAGGCGTTAGTCTGATAGATTGGGGTAGAGAGTTCCAGAGGATGGGTGACGCCCTGCAAAAGTCTTGGAGACGAGCATGGGAGGAGGAGAAGATAAGGGAGCTAGAGAGTAGGAGGTCTTGCGAGGAGCGGAGTGTACAGTTTGGGGGATATTTAGAGATAAGATCGGATATGTAAATTGGGGCAGTGTTGTGGATGGCTTTATATGTCATTGTTAGTGTTTAGAATTTTATCCATTGGGCAACTGGGAGCCAGTGGAGGGATTGGCAGAGAGGGGTGGCAGATACAGAATGGTTATTAAGGTGGATAAGTCTGGCAGCAGCATTCATGATAGATCGGAGTGGGGATAGCCTGTGATGAGGTAGGCCAATGAGGAGGGAGTTACAATAGTCGAGGAGTGTTATGACAAGGGAGTGAATAAGTTACTTAGTGGTTTCTGGGGTTAGGAACGGTCGTATCTTGGACATGTTGCGGAGGTGAGTCTACAAGATTTTGTCAGCGTTTGGATCTGGGGCTGGAAGGACAGATGGGAGTCTAGGATTACACCTAGTACCCTGGCATGAGGGGATGGACTGATGATTGTGTTACTGATATTTATGGTGAAGTCAGTGGAGGTGGCACGGGCTGGGGGGAATACTAAGAGCTCAGCTTTGGAAAGGTTGAGTTTGAGGAAGTGGAGTGAAATCCAAGCCGATATGTCACTTAGTAGGCTAGTGATGCGAGTGGAGACTGAAGGGGTGAGGTGAGGGGTAGACAGATAGATTTGCGTGTCATCAGCATAGAGGTGGTACTTGAAGCCGTGGGAGTTTATCAAGTGACCGAGGGAGGAGGTGTAGATGGAAAAGAGAAAGGGTCCAAGGACGGAGCCTTGAAGGACCCCTACAGAGAGAGGGAGTGAAGAGGAGGTGGCAGTGTTATAGGTAACACTGAAGAAGTGCTGCAATAGATAGGAGGAGAATCAGGAGAGAACAGAGTCTCTGAGGCCAAGAGAGTGTAGTTTTTTGAGGAGGAGGGGATGGTCAACTGTGTCAAAAGCCGTGGAGAGGTCGAGTAGTAGGAGTATTGAATAGTGGCCGTTGGTTTTAGCAGTTAGTAGATCATTAGAGAGTTTTAGTAGGGCAGTTTCAGTGGAGTGTAGAGGGCGAAAGCCAGACTGTAAAGGGTCAAGAAGGTTGTTGTTGGTGAGGTGGGAGCTCAGACGATTGTAGACTAAGTAATAGACTAAGTAATATGCTGCTGTGTACTTCTCTGCACAACAGAGAAATACACAGCAGTATGTTTACATAGTAAAACACACACAGAACATACAGTAAAACAGCACACAGTTAACCCTTTGATCACCCAGATGTTAACCCCTTTCTGCCCAGTGTTATTAGTACAGTGTCAGTGCATTTTATTAGCACTGATCACTGTATTAGTGTCATTGGGATGTCAGTGGCAGTTAGTCAGTTCCCCTCAGTGTCCGAATGCCTGCCAGAGCCCCGCTATAAGTTGCTGATCACTGCCATTGCTAGTATAAAAAAAAATTTCCAGTATATATACCGCCATTTGTAGACGCTATAACTTTCACATAAAGCAAAGACATGTCACAGAATACATTTTGGCCTAAATTTATGACGAAATTTGATTTTTAACCTTTTTGTTTACTGGATATGTTTTATAGCAAAAAGTCAAAAATAGTGAGTTTTTTTTCAAAATTGTCTGTCTTTTTTTGTTTAAAGCACAAAAAATAAAAAACACAGAGGAGATCAAATACCACCAAAAGAAATCTCTATTTGTGGGGAAAAAAGGACAAAAATTTAATTTGGGTGCAGCGTTGCATGACCGCGCAATTGTCAGTGACATATCACAAAAAATGGCCTTAGCAGGAAGGGGGGTATATGGAAGGCAAGTGGTTAAGAACATTAATTGGCTTTTCTAATCATTATTGGGGTCAAGTCGATGTTCATTTTCAGCTGCAAACCAACTGATTTCTAACAGTGAATGTGGTTTTTCATTTGGGAAAGTGCATTCATTCAAAATCAAACAACATCAAATGCACTGATGGATTTTCGCACTACTAATGCATGGCCAGCTTTAATTCCAACCTCCATATCATTAATAAATAAGTTAAACAGCCTCAGTCCAAATATAGAAACCCTGAGGCACACCACTTAAAACCTTGGTACATAGTATGTGAAAATGTAAGTTCTACAGTAAATGTACACAGAATGAAACATAAGAATGTGTATGATGTGTCCACATTTACCAATACCTCTCAGCTCTGTGTATTTCCTGTTACCTGGGTAGATGTTGAGGCGGACATGTGTCCATCTTTTTTCTTGAGCTGACATGGAAGTAATTGTGAGAGCTCTCCTCATATCCCGGTTTTAACTCCACCATTTTTAAAAGACAATCCCAGTTTTCTGACTTAAACTAGAAAAAAAAAAAAAAAATTTAACTTTGAAGGATCTTTTTATGGTACAGTTTAAGGAGTTGGTAACATAAATTACAAATTGGCATTGATGGTGATGTTGCATGTGATATATTCCTTTCCTTGTTTAATATCTTCATTATTAACAATGAAACTTAATGTTTCCTTATTAATGTTTCATATTTACCACTTGTAGCCAGCAGGTAGCACAGTGGATTTTTTTTTGTCACATATATGGTGGGCTGTCCTCCGAGGCCCCGTATAAATAAGTACCAGTGTTTGTGCTTGAAATGTGCTTCTTGTAAACAAAAACTACTGTATGTAAATATATATATATATATATATATATATATATAATAGCCGATCAGTGCTCATCTAGGTTAGTGTCAGGGTCAAGATCAGGGGGGGTCAGTAGGACTAAAATGAAACCTTTTAGGTGATGTACCCGTATGTTGCCGCTTGTTTCTGGGTTTTTGCACAACCCTGCTGGCCTGTGCAAACCAGCAGGTTTCAGCCAATGATTTTGGCTCTATACAGTACCTGCTGTTCAGCTGTGGCCAATCACAGCACCGAGATCTGTGTTTACAAACACACAGAACTCTGTATACAGACAGTGATCCGGCTGTTTCTTCTTCCTGAAGTCAACTCTGAGTTTAGGGGGAAAAAGCAGCCAGATCTGTGAGTAAAAGCAGCACATATTACACTTGTTAGGTACACAGTTAACCCCTTGATTGCTACTTGATGTTAAACCCACTCCAGCCACTGTCTTCGTACACCGTATAGTGTACAGTATTATAGCTGATCACTGTATTAGTGTCACCAGCAACTTCAATGTGAGCTAGTCAGTTAGTGTCTCTCCCAGCCAGTGGTTGTTGTTAGCGCCAGATTGCATGCCACACTATCATAATCACACAATAGTTTGCTGATCAATGTCATTAATAGTATAGCTTCTTTAGCTGTGTAAATTCCAATATATATACCATAGTTTGTGTAACTTTCACACAAACCAATTAATATACACTTAATGGAATTTTATTTTTTACCAAAAACATGTAAAAGAATATATGTTGACCTAAATTTATGAAGAAAAATTAGATTTTATTAGATATATTTTATAGAAGAAAAAAAAAATATTGTTTTTTTTTTTTTCAAAATGTTCGGTCTCTTTTTGCATATATAATAAAAAATAAAAAACCCAGTGGTGATCAAATACCACCAAAACAAAGCTCTATTTGTGTGGGAAAGAAATTATAAATTTAATTTGTGTACAGCGTTGCATGATCAAGCAGTTGCCAGTTTAAGTAGCACAGTGCTGAATAGCACAAAAATGTCCTGGTCATGAAGAGGGTAAAACTTTCCTGAAGTCAAATGATTAACACATTTCAAAGTTGCAAAACTGCATTCAAGCATTGTTTTACCTTCCGTCATGAAGGGGTTAATATACTGTAGTCTGATTCTCAGGACATACACAAAGATAGATGAGTCAGAGAAATTACACACCCCTTTCTCTTTTTGCTCATATTGCTCTACATGTAGTTTCAATTAAACACAGACAGTCAGAAAGTGAGCACAAACTGATGTGCTATCTCCAGTCAAGTTATTTGAAAGTTTAGGGAATGTGATTGCAGTGTTAGATACCCACTCTCTACACTTACTGTTGTCAGCATTTCAAATTAAAGGATCACTGTACCCAAAACCAATTCGTCAGTTTTTTTTATCTCTGATGGACTCTTTTGTAGAGACCTTTGTCCCTGAGTTCCTTAGTCTGTTCAGCTGCAGTGGGCATTGTGAAGGGTTCTCAATCTTTGGGCTGAATTTTCTTTTATTTATTCTACTGTATATTTGGTGGTAAAACCCGAAATTTCCATAGGGGTAGAAACAGAGGCAGAAGAATTTATTTATTTGATTTATTTCAGGTACTTATATAGCACCGTCAATTTATGCAGCACTTTACATATATATTGTACATTCACATCAGTCCCTAACCCTCAAGGGGCGTACAATCTAAGGTCCCTAACTCACATTCATACATACACATACTAGGGCCAATTTAGACAGGATCCAATTCACCTACCAGCATGTCTTTGGAGTATGGGAGGAAATCAGAGTACCCGGAGGAAACCCACGCAGGCACAGGGAGAACATGCAAACTCCAGGCAGGTGGTGCCATGGTTGGGATTCAAACCAACAACCCTAGTACTGCCAGGCGGAAGTGCTAACCATTTAGCCACTGTGCTGCCCGAATTAAAGCAATATTAAACCCAAAGCCAAACATTTATTATATTGCAGCTTACTAATCCTTAGATGTGATGGCTGCAATAATTTATTTCTATTTTCATCTGGTGATCTAGCCAGTAAGTCTGTTGTTTTTCAAAAGAACAAGCTTTCTTAGGGCTCGTTCACACTTGACTTTATTTCTAACTCTTGCCAAACGCCCCTATAGTGTTTGACAGGCGTGATACAGGCGTTTGGGAAGTGTTTTTAACACTCCTCAAAGCTCCCCAAATGCCCTATGCGCGGTTTTGAGGCGATTGATAGGTGTTAAGTGTTAAAACCGCACCACAAATGCCTATAATTAAGTTAAATGATATTAACGCTCCGCAAATGCCTCACAACCGCCTCACAAACACTCCGCAAATGCTTGCCAGGCGTTTGAGGAGCGGCACCATAAACTTGAAAGGGAGGCTTCAACTCCTCCTGACTCAACATGAGGCATCAGTTTTGCCGCGACGCAACGCTAACGCTTCAGTGTGAACAGCACCGTGTGCTGCCAAGTGCAGAATTAAAAAAAACGGTTCCCAAACGCCTGTCTGATGCCTGCTGACAAAGCTAGTGTGAACATAGCCTTAGAGCTCTCTTGCAGTGATCATCTTTTATTTATCTATGTAAGACATTTATCCCAAATAGAAAAAAAAACTGTTTGATGTAATTGCTTATAAAAAGTGAGCTGGAGTTTGGCTTCAATTTGTTAGCGTATTTAAATCTGCTTTAAATCTAATGATTGGTAAGCTGCAATATAGTACATTTTTAGCTTTGAGTTTAATACCGTTTAAAGGTAGCGAGATCTCACTGCTGAAGTAAGTAAGACATATAGAAACTAAAATATCTGCTACAGAATTATAAAATATATTTCAAGTGTGGACTGACACTTTAAAGTGTATGTAAAGTTGTTTTCTTTTTTTTTGGTTTTGGATAGATGAGGAAAGGATTGGAACCTTTATTGGAATTTTACTGCGGCTTAATTAGAGAGTTGTCCCTTGATTTGCTGTTGCAAATATTTCTTTATTTATTACAGGTACTTATATAGCGCCGTCAATTTACACAGCCCCAAATAGCAATAAAATCCGATAAGGTTTCAAACCCTATCTTGCTCTATCGAAAGCTAAAAAAAACATTTTGGCCTAACATCCACTTTGTTTGCATATTGCATCAGTTTATACAGTATGTCTTCTGACCTGTTTAAATATTAGTCCGTACGCTCACATATAATTTAACTTGGTATAGTACATTTTAAATGTCCTGAGTTTGGAGAACACTGGTCTGATATAAACAAAACTAAAAAAAAATATAGGTTTTGGTATTAAAATCAATACAGTACATGTGACAGAAATTCCCTTTATCTTCCCCCCTCAATTTACATGGCATGATGCATACCTCCTGTATAACTTGTTATCTGGTTCATTTGTCAATTGGTTGTGTTCCTATTTGTAAACACCTTGTTGATTGATTTATCAAAAGAAACTGGAATATATTATTTGTGATAGGTCTTTCCTGCTAAAAACAATATACTATATATATATATATATATATATATATATATATATATATATATATACACGGGGGGGATTTACTAAAACAGGTGCATCCATAATCTGGTAAAGCTGTGCATAATAACCAGTCAGTTTCTAATGCAGGCCATAGGTGGGTCGAAAATCGGCCGATTTTCGGATCGTTAGTGGGTTAATAGGTCGGCTGTTTTTCGTTATTTTGGCAGATTTTTTTTATCGGTAAAGTTTGAAAAAGATCGGCCAATTTTCGCAGCAATGATGGGCAAATCGGACGATCTTTACCGATAA